CACTGAAAAATATTTACCCATGAAGAGCTCCTAGAACTCTTCCCATGTCATTAACTCTAAGTTCCTTGAGTCCTTTACTCAATTCCACCACAATTGGGATTTTTCCTCTAGTTGTAATGTAGCTAACGTTATCTTAGTGGCATCGGAAGTGATCTTCATAGCCCTTAAGATCTTATTGACTTGTCGGAACCAACAGTCAGCCACCATCGGATCCGCTCCCCCACAAAAGTCAACGACTAATATGCATTAAACTTCTGAAGGTTACTCGAGCCTCCTTGGTCCATATTTGCACTAGTCTGTGCAATGATAGTAGCCACAACACCAATAGCCTCCAAAAAAGCTTGATGGTCAAAGGCGGGTGGTGGTTGATCATTGTTTTGCCCATCGCCTCGGGGTCCTCTTCCCCTATTAGCCATCTACACACATTTCAGACAACAATAGAGCCTCACATAGTATCCCAAAATAGGGACCAATTTTAAACTCTGAGATTTCTCTTATTGTCTCTCTAATCGTGCGTGTGCCACCACTAATAGACATTTACATCTTGAACTATCTCGTTCATCCCATTTTTTGAACCCTAAGGTTATGTTTTTTAACCATAGTGTTTCTCCTTTTCATATAGATTTCACCATGCATATAATTCACATAACACATAGCACATAACATATAGCAATTTAAGTACATAACATGAAATTTATAATGAATGCAATGGTCTAGACCTATGCCCATCAAGCCCTAGGTAATTCGCATACCTAGGCTCTAATACCAAGCTGTGACGCCCCTAAAATCGGGGGTCATTTGTTAACCGTTAACCATCCATCAACTCGCGAAAATACCGATAATTGTCGCGCAACTCGACGTCACGTCAATAACATCCCTTAATTGGGATTATAACCCACATGTGAAACCGTGTTCATTTAATCATTTGATCTAACTATGGTCCAATATACCACAATTCATATTTCATTATAGTCCATTTACATCCTTGGAACTCAAGAACTCATGTCCAAAAGCTTGACAAAGTAATTTTAAAATTTTAAAATTTTGGAAAGTGTACCGGTAGGCTGTATCGGTACGGGATGTCCACTGGAAAAGTTGTACTGGTATGGGTGACCCACTGAAAAATCTGTACTGGTACAGTTAACCCTCTAGAAAATATGTACCAGTATGGGTAACCCACTGAAAAATCTATACCAGCACGGATAACTTTCTGAAAAATCTGTGCCAGTACGAGTAACCCTTTGTACCTCGTCATATCGGTACGCCATACTGGTACAATTTAGCGACTTTTGCCTATTTCACCTATTTTCAATTTCTAATCCATTCCAAACCATCCCACCAACTTCCAAAACATGTTTAATAAGGTTTTTCACATGAAAACTCATTATATACAAGTTATATTACAGATAATTTCCATACGATTACATGTCCAATATATAATTTTCACAAAAATTATACAGAATGAGCTATCAAAAGCCACAAGTCGGCTCTTTTCATCTTTGAAGCTCAAAATGAGAGTCCTCCGCCGGTGTGAACCTTGCACCTGAAATGTTTTCCCTTATAAGGTGAGTTACGCTCAATAGAGTAACTCCTACAGAGGCTATTCTTCCCCCCTAGATGCACATGATTGTGTATATGCAACAATCAAACATCAATTTCCATTATAAACAAGAAGATGTCATTCAATGTTAGAATTCTACTATGTCATGTCATGATATGAGATGACACTCATTTATGCACTTTAATCCGAGTGCTCATCGACTCCTACAATACAATGCAATGCTAATGTGTAGTAAATCTATCATTGATAAATTTCATCCAATGATCATTTTGAAATAAAGGTCATGTGTTTATAAAACCAAATTTTGTTGGATGATACACATCGAATGACCATTTGTAATACAAAATCATGTGTCTTTGTTGGATATCAAATTTTGGAATCACACCGCTGGCTCCATACGTCATTACACTTTACTTGCATCATCAGAAGTATATAAAATCAAGTAACCAGGTCTTACACCCGAGGGAGTGTCTAACACTTCTTGTTATACCCGACATAAGTTTTTCATGCAACATGCGACTCTGTCTGATATTAAATCCAATTTTTTTGAGTCCGCTCATCAATCACCAAGTATGATGATTGATCCAACCATGCACACACACACCCATACTCATGTCCATGAATGTATTTCCCCTGTGNCTAGGTCTTACACCCGAGGGAGTGTCTAACACTTCTTGTTATACCCGACATAAGTTTTTCATGCAACATGTGACTCTGTCTGATATTAAATCCAATTTTTTTGAGTCCGCTCATCAATCACCAAGTATGATGATTGATCCAACCATGCACACACACACCTATACTCATGTCCATGAATGTATTTCCCCCGTGCAAATGCAATGTCATACACCATTGCAATCTCAATGTCATACTTTATATGTAATGAATGTCATATGAGCTAATTAACCTATATATATCAACATATGTTATGATAATTTATATCAATTGCACATAATTACCATAATTCATCACAATGTCAATACACCAACNGAATGTATTTCCCCTGTGCAAATACAATGTCATACACCATTGCAATCTCAATGTCATACTCCATATGTAATGAATGTCATATGAGCTAATTAACCCATATATTTCAACATATGTTATGATAATTTATATCAATTGCACATAATTACCATAATTCATGACAATGTCAATACACCAACTAACACATATTAACATTTGTATCCAACACAAACCTCAAACATGTTATACATAACTCATGTCATAACAAACTCAATTTTCACATAGACATTAGAAAAATACCTTAAAGGCATAATTCATGTTATAACAGAAGATTTTCCTATATCAAACTTTACTAGAAATTGGTCTAAGCCATTTTCATAACCATTTCCTCATTTCCATAACCATAATCAAGTGACCTAGGTTATTCTATACACTTATCCATTCCATAGAGCATTCTAGGTAAGAAATAAACCAAGGTAGGAGGAAACCCTATCTCTTGAAGCGTGATACGAAAGGTAGAAAGCCTCAAGAACACTTCCNATCCATTCCATAGAGCATTTTAGGTAAGAAATAAACCAAGGTAGGAGGAAACCCTATCTCTTGAAGCGTGATACGAAAGGTAGAAAGCCTCAAGAACACTTCCCAAGCCCAAAACCCTTGATTTTCTCAAATTTTCTCTTTAGATCTTCAATGAAATCCTTTGTTTTTTATACGTAGACGTAGCCCTCGTCGCGTAGACGAACTTTAATTCTTGGCTCGATGAATTCCGACCGACATAACTCCTTAGATCGCAAGGAGAAAGGTAGAAATCTTGTATTTCCTCTTCTCTTCTCTTCCAACGTGTGAGACCAACTGATCAAGTGGGAAAATATCAGATATTTCCCTCTATTTATAGCGCCTTTAATTGCGCGGTCCACATCGCACCACACATTTCCTACTTCCGGGTCTGTTTTTGTCCTGAAACGACTTAATTTTATCCCAGTTTAATTTAAATTATTTTTATTTAAACTTTCCTTCAATTATAAAAAAAATTTATAATTTTTATTTTTTGGGGACGTTTGTGAGGTCATCCGACCCCTAGTTGTCTCGAAAAATATAAAAATTCGACTATCTTGAAATTTGATGAAAATTGACAAGGTAGCTCGATTTCGCAATATGAATCCGATGGTGAGGTTCGTTGCATCATTCGAGTTATAAAAAAAATATGGATTTAATTCTGCAATATAGTGATAAATTACCAATTTTTCCTTTTTCGAAAGAAATTCAAATTTACCCAAGTTTTACAATTCCGACCATTACAATAGTCACCCAGGGCATCAATTTTCACATGTTTATGTAAAACCTTATATAAAATCCTAAAATATAACAAAACCTTCTAAAAAAAATCTAAAAATAACAATTTCTAGTTTTTAAATAGTAATCTCTTTCAAATTCTTTTCACTATTTTTTTCTCTACTCTTACTGCATCTCTCCAACTTTTTCTCTCCCTCCCACTATCATTGTCTTGCTCTGATTTTTTGTCCTTATCTTTTACTCTTTTGCTGTTTTTTTAAAACTTCATTTAATTTATTAGTCTGTAAAATTCTGACTTCACAATTGCACCAAATTTATTATCTGATTCAATCCGATCCCAAAACTAATAATACATTGAAAATAATTTATACCACAACTCTTTGTAAAAAATCTAATAATCGTTAAAAAAAAATTATTTATCTTCTTAAAATATTAAATAAACTCTCGTGTGAAATTCTAGATTTAGGCCCTAATTTGTGTTGGATCGCCCTTGAAAGTGACCAAAAGGTATGAAGTGCGTTCAGAAGTTAGGAGAGACATACCTAAAACATCAATGAAGCTCTATTTATCAAATAACTTAATTTAACACTCATTTATATACAATTATATTATCTATTGAAATAACACTAACAAACTAAATAAGAGTTTAAATNAGCATAATAATAAATTTTGTATTTTGTGCTCTCAAGGTTTTAATATATGTCATGTTTATTCCATTGAAAATGATAATTTGAATTGAATAGTAAAATTGAAGTCATGTGTCTCATGTGATCATACTTGGGGAATTAATTTAATCATTAAAATTTTAATTTAGATTACCTTAATTATTATTCTTTCAATTTTATGATTTTAATTTAAATTTTTGAGAAAGGTATACGAACTCTTCAACGTCTTCTTGATTTTTTTTTCCCTTAATGACCAATCTGCGCCACACAACAGAAAATCAAACATACAATTTTACATCCACTCGATATTCCACGTGGAGATCTAAATAGATGGACATGACACGTGGACCAATAATAAAACAGAATCTTTTATCCTTAGCCAACAACCATTAACATTTGGATTGCCTATATCCTTCCCGTCCATATACTTCACCCCGCGCTCCCGTCACTCCACCCTTCCCATATCTCTCTCCCTCTCTCTCATCACTCCGCCATTCGCAGAAACAACTTTGAGAATGGCCTCAAATGCATTGATGAGCTGCGGCGTCGCGGCAGTTTGCCCCTCAGTGCTCTCTTCTTCTAAGTCAAAATTTGCCGCTGCCGTGCCCGTGGCTGGTGTTGGTACCAATGCTGCGGCCGGTTTCACAATGTCGGCCGACTGGATGCCCGGTCAGCCCCGGCCAACCTACCTTGATGGCTCAGCACCTGGGTAATAATATAATGTTATGGATCCAATTATAGTAACCAAAAATCTTATACCTCATTTTTTCACATCCAATGAAACTATGCTACACGGAATTTTTTTTTATTTTTGGAAGAATTATATCTACACCCCTGAAGTTTGTCATTTAATCACTCAAATTTCCTGACATTTGAAATATTACACATAGATCTTTTAATGTTTGTATGCGCATGACACTTAGACCCTTGTTGTAAATATATCTATTAATAAATTATACTTAGACCCTCTAAAATTTGTNCAAAAAATCTTATACCTCATTTTTTCACATCCAATGAAACTATGCTACACGGTTTTTTTTTTTTATTTTTGGAAGAATTATATCTACACCCCTGAAGTTTGTCATTTAATCACTCAAACTCTTTAACATTTGAAATATTACACACAAATCTTTTAATGTTTGTACGCGCATGACACTTAAACCCTTGTTGTAAATATATCTATTAATAAATTATACTTAGACCCTCTAAAATTTGTGGGTATATAATACTTAAACTCTTTAAGTGTAAAATATTATACTTAGACCAAAACTATTCTAATCAAATATAAAATATTTTAAATTTTATAAGTAAAATTTATGTTCTATTGTATCATTTATTGAAATAAAATTAAAATTAAAAATTCAATTTTTTTTAAAAAAATTATAATTATTATACAATTATATTGTCTATTATAATTTAATTTAGTTATTTAAACGACCAAATTAAAATATCAAACTACCCCAATCAAATCTAAAAGATACTGTGTCAATTACAAATTGATTCCTTGTTTAATTTTTTAGTTTTGTTCTAATAGACAATATAAATATATAGTAACTATATATTTTTTAAAACAATTAATACATCTAAAATTCATGTTCTATTATGAATGATTTAGACCAATTGTTTGATTTTTTAGTTTTATTCTAATAGATAGTATAATTATATACTAATCACGATTTTTTTAAGAAAAAAATAAAATTTTATTTCAATAAATGATATAATAAAATATGAATTTTGGTTGTAAAATTTAAAATATTTTATATTTTATATTTGATTGAAGTATTTTTTATCTAAGTATTATATACCCACAAACTTTAGGGGAGTCTAAGTGTAATTTATTAACATATATATTTACAACAGAGGTATAAGTGTTACGCGCGTACAAATTTCAGGGGTCTGTGTGTAATATTTCAAATGTCAGGGAGTCTGAGTGATAAAGTGATAAACTTCAGGGGTCTAGATGTAATTCTCCCTTCATTTTTTTTATTTAATTTTACTTTAATATTTCTATAATTAATAGTCACAATTGAATCAAACAAATATCTATGTACAATTTTTCGCTATGAGGTTGGAAAAAAAAAATGTAGTACCATAGCCATATGCTAATGTTCGGGGACATAATGAAATATTTGGGTGCCAACAACTTTGATCTTACAATTCTGTCGCATATGGTGTGCTTTTGTATGTTGCAGAGACTTTGGATTCGACCCACTTCGTCTTGGTGAGGTGCCTGAAAACCTTGAGAGATAGAAGGAGTCCGAACTCATCCACTGCAGATGGGCCATGGCTGCTGTTGTGGGTATCTTGCTTAGTCCATAGATCATGTTTTTCTATCCTCTGTGTGTTTTCCATGAAATTGAAAAAGGGATGGAAAAAAAGTAATCGCGAGTCAAAAGTCCTAAGAGAAGCTATATGCATATTTTAGCTAGTTTAGCCAATTCATTTTGAATGTTACAATAATGAGGTGTGTTAAAATATAAATACTTGAGTCATACATTTTTTAACAATTTAAGTTTTATACAATAGATGATTGTTTAACATGATATCAAAGCAATTGTCTTATGTTCAAATCTCGCTGCTACTCTAACTATTAAAAAAAAAATTATGTGTTAAATTCAAATTCNTGCAATAAATGATTGTTTAACATGATATCAAAGCAATTGTCTTATGTTTAAATCTCGCTGCTACTCTAACTATTAAAAAAAAAATTATGTGTTAAATTCAAATTCAAGCCCGCACGTGAGAGAGTATATTGAAGTATAAATAATTAAATTACACCGTCTCTAACAATTTAAACTTTTGGAGCAAACTGTTGTTTAACAATGTGCAACTGTCTGCGAACAATCACCAATTTCGTGTCAAAAACAATCCCATAAAAAGATCTCCTCTAAGTAGAAATTGCAATTTCCTGTAACTATGGGTTACAAACATTTTTCCTACATAGTGCAATCAAGTGACAATTTTTTAACGAGACACATAAACTAGGTTTGCATAGCATAGGGTTGTGTTATTTTAGATTCATATCGAATATAATAAACTTTAACTTTCTTATTTAACTGATTAAATGTCGCAATATTAATTTAATTTAATTTATTTAGTAATCATGTCATTTTTGAGACTGCAACACAACTCCTATGAAGCACAAACGTAGGACTATTAGTCCATTCTCCGCCAATTAAACCCACCACCCATTAGTAATCTATTAACTAGAAGTCTATTCGGTCCAAATGATAAGAAATCCAAATTAAAACTTTTCTAAACTATTCATACACTACTAAATCAAGAGATAAATTAACAAATGTTAAAAATAAAAACTCTATATTTTTTCAGACACGTCACTTAATCGTGTTTGTTGTGCGAGTAATTCACATTTAATACTATCTTTATTTGTATATTATTTATGTTAAGGATAATGTCATTTTTTGTTAAATATGTAACGAACCTTAATAATTAGGACAATGTGAAATTAACCATGTAGTTGCGAGTGTAATATAAAAAATATGATAGTTTTGAGGGAATAATAGGAAAAAGTTCGTAGTTGAGGGGATCAAAGTGTAATTTTTCCTTCTTAATATATGAGCAGTGGGTTTTCAGCCAGGAATTTTAGTACCAGAGGCATTGGGGTTGGGCAACTGGGTAAAGGCACAAGAGTGGGCAGCTGTACCTGGGGGACAAGCCACCAACCTGGGGAACCCTGTCCCTTGGGGCACCCTTCCCACCATTTTGGTCATTGAATTCCTTGCCATTGCCTTCGTCGAGCACCAAAGAAGCATGGAGAAAGACCCCGAGAAGAAGTACCCCGGTGGAGCTTTCGACCCATTGGGTTTCTCCAAGGACCCGGTTAAGTTTGAAGAGTACAAAGTCAAGGAGATCAAAAATGGTAAACAATCTCTCTCTCTCTCTCTCTCTCTCTCATGGATTTCAATCTCCATTCATCATAATGCTTCCAAATTAATTTTATCTTGAGAAATAGTGCTTATTGTATTTTACTTTATACACTCAAAAATTAAATTTATATTATACTCTCAATATATCAAAAGTATTATAATGTATCTCTTCTATTAACTTCTGTTATTTTTTTTGTCAAAAACCAACCTATTGATATTGAGAGAAAAATTAACAGAAATGTAATAGAATGTCATATTACAATATTTTTGATATATTAAAAATGTAATATAAAAAATTAAAAATAATTGAGANTTCCAAATTAATTTTATCTTAAGAAATAGTGCTTATTGTATTTTACTTTACACACTCAAAAATTAAATTTATATTATACTCTCAATATATCAAAAGTATTATAATGTATCTCTTCTATTAACTTCTGTTATTTTTTTTGTCAAAAACCAACCTATTGATATTGAGAGAAAAATTAACAGAAATGTAATAGAATGTCATATTACAATATTTTTGATATATTAAAAATGTAATATAAAAAATTAAAAATAATTGAGAGTATAAAATAAAAATTTTAAAATATTTCAGAATGTTTAAGTACAATTCGCTCTAAGAAATAATAAGAAGTTCGGTATGGTTCGAAAAAATTACGCCTTAATAGGGTTAGTTATAACTTATCCGAGGTCAAATAAAAGTTCAAAAAAGTTGATCATAGCTCAACTAAAGTCGAGTCACAACTCAAAAACATTTGGGTGAAAGTACAATTCAATTAAAGTAAAGTTAAATCTCAAATGATTTGAGATCGATCCTAAATATTATGATTGACCTTGGGACTAATCTCAATGAACCCGATTGAGTTATAATTTTATCGGAATAGTAATCTCATCCAATTGAAACGTGACTTTCCACACGGTAATGAAAGTGAAAGCGAGTCTTTGTAGTTTTTCCATTCGTCTGATCAGATATATATATGTGGTTGTATATGCATTGGATGTTCAGGTCGTCTTGCCTTGTTGGCTTTTGTGGGATTCTGTGTTCAACAGTCAGCTTATCCGGGAACAGGACCGCTGGAGAACTTGGCAACTCACTTAGCTGATCCATGGCACAACAACATTGGAGACATCATTATTCCTAGAGGAGTTTTGCCATGATGATCCACTTCCAATGACAAACCATTTTCGTAAAACTCAATGCACCAGTATTTATATAATAAAATAAGAGTGTGTTTAAATTTTATCTCAGTCATATTTTCCCCTTCAAAATCATCACCAATCATTTACCTCACCCATTATTCCTTTGTCAAACTCAAACGTCAAATTACATTACTAATTTTTATCACATATTTAATCATTTATATATTTTCTCCCTAAAAATATCACACAATTTATTTCTATTATATATTTAATCATTTAATATTTAATTAATTTGTAGTTAATATATTTAAAAAAAATTTAATATAATAAGATCGATTTTTTGGACGCTCGAATTTTATATTTTATCGTGCCATCATATACGGATTATGACTAGTTATATTATATGACACAGCAAACCTGTGTATCTTTGACTGTATGTTTCCAAGGCTTCATTTATTGGTTAACTATCATTTACCTATAGTAACATTTTTAATTTGTACTTAACTATATGATATAAATTGATTGATCAAATACGTTATTATCATTAAATTAGTAGTGGATTTTAATATTGGATGAGGTATACTGCTAAATTTAGCGAAATAATCCTATTGACTAGGGGTGTTCAAATTTTCGATTGATCACAATTTTTTACCCTACCTTACCCTACCCTATTGAACGGTTAGCCGCAAAAATCGGGTAGAAATGCGAAAGAGTTTTTGGTCTTCCGATTAAATCAGGTAGGAATGCGGAATACCAATCAATTTTCGCATTCCTACTATACTTTACCTTCAAAAAATATATTTAATTTTTTTATATTTTTTTTAATAATTATAAGAGTATTTGTGTGATATAATTTATATTATAACATTGTTATTGTTGTGGATGTTTGAGTTGCGAAAATATGAACTTATTTTTTGTGTAGGTTATATAATTTATGGTGAACTAGTGAACTATTGGAGCAATTATGATTTTAATGTGTTTCATATGATTTAAACTTAAAATAATTTTTTGTATTTGTGTAACAATTATGATGGATTAATGTTCATGTTTTCTTATATTTTATTGTAATTGTTCTTGTAGTTGTTTTATGTTTTAGTGTTATTTATTTATTGTGTTATTAAATTGGTGCATGTTATTTAATTGAATTGTTACAATGATCCAAAAATTAATAGCTACAGAAGTATTTACCTGACTTCCTACCCAATTATTCGAGCATGAAGTCGAGTAGGAATACCACACCTGATCGGGTAGGGTAAGACAAGAAAAAATTCTTCCGTAAAGTATCGGGTAAGAAGACAGAAGATAATATTTCCTACCCGTATGGTAAGATGAACACCACTACTATTGACCCTTATTCGAGTTGCTGGGGACAAAACTTGACTCAACCAAGGACTTGGATTTCAGATTCACGGTAATATTAGTTGAAACTAGTTTACCAACTTAATTTATTGATTTTATGGATTATGATCATTTCGTTGATAGAGAAACCGAATTGTTATCGGGACTGATTCCTAATCTCATGGCAACAATGAATTAGATTAGTAAAACGGATTTAAAGGTTAGGTTAATGTAGGTTGGGGGGGAGGGGTTTAAAGAGGTCGTCACACTTGTTTACACCAAGAATAATTGAAGGGGATGAGTAGGATAAGAGGAAGAGATGAAAGGAACTCGAGTAGTCTATTAACGAAGGGATGTACCAATTGGGCAGAGGGTAGGTGAAATTCTCTCACAAGCCATGAATTTTTATTCTCTGCAATAAGCAAGTAATATGAGTATTTATAGCACAGTGGCGGGGTAGGTCTAGTTGCCTGCCATGACCCCCAACCACTTGTGCCAACTCACAACTGCCTCGACCGCCTTAACCTTGGTAATGTTAGTGGTTGTTAATCGCGAGTCACGTGTTCTAACATTAATTAGGCAGAAATGACGGTTTTCCTAAGTGCAGCCTGAATGTGGTTTTGAGGAGGATGCAACAGTTGAGGTGAAAAATGGCTCCCAAGGTTCATGACCATGATTGGTCATCGCGGGATCATGACTTTGAGAGGGCCATGTCTGCGATGCCCCCATCACGCTCCTACTCAGGGTTTTCATTTCTCTCTCTCGACCTTTCTTTGAGACGTTTGTCGAGGTGTCCGAGAGAGGAAACCCATACAATTTCGGTTCTTTAGCCACCAATCTATATGTTTCATTATCTCATATGTTGATCTGAATCAATAACTCCAGTTACCTTAAAAATCCTTCTGGATCCTAGTCAAGCATATTCTAATGGACGGTGAGTTATACACTAGGAGCTTTGCTAGAACAAACTAAACCTTTAAGACCTTATCCCAGGCTGAGGTTGACAATCATGTTTATCCACCCCCGTTGCTCAGTTCTCCTTTGAGGAAGATCATACTGATGTCCCTAGGTGGGGACCCTTCATCTTAGTCTAGTGGGCCACTCGAGCAATGGTGTTTATGTAGGTTGAGGATACCATTTTGTAGTAGGGGAGACGAGTCTCGCTGGGTTGTCTCCAGACTTCTACGATTTCATTCTTGTCTACCTTTTAGTGAAGGGTCTGTTTTGTCACTTCCAATGTGACAAGAATGTGTTTTGCCCCTATTGCTGTGTTGCGCCCGGAGGCATCACAATTGGGGGGCGTTGCACATGGGGAGTCGTGCTTGAAGTCGTCGTACCCTGCATGTCGCGTATAGGGTGTCACTCTTGGGGGACATCGCACCTTGATTGTCATGCTTGNAAGTTATGGTACCCTAAAAAATAATAAAAATAGTTACAACAATAATGGTAAAAATATCTAAAAATATGATAAAAATACTTACAAATATAGTAAAAATATTCATAAATATAATAATTTTTTTTATATTAAAAAAGTGGTAAAAATAATTACCACAAATGTGGTAAAAATATCACAACAGTAGTAAAAAATCCCACAAAAGTGATAAATTATCCACAAAATAATAAAATTTTTAGTTATAAAATAACCCACAAAAATTATAAAAATAACCATTAAAATAATAAATTTTGAAAGTGCGGTAACAAATTATTTCTTTGCTCCTGTAGTCAACTCCTATAATGTTGGTAGGGTTAGAAAGCTTCTCAATTCNATGATCAAATTTAGAGTCCAAATGACATGGCAGCTGACTTGAGCTTTTTTACTTAGTGCCATGTCATTTGAGCCTTAATAAAAACTCTAAATAATTAGCTGTCATGTCATTTAGGATTCANTGTCAATTCAAAGTGATTGTGTCTAGGGTGTTCATCTTCCCATACGGGTAGGAAATATAGTATTCTGTTTTCTTACCCAATACTTTGCGGAAGAATTTTTTCTTTGCCTACTCTACTCGATCAGGTGTGATATTCCTACCCAACTTCCTACCCGATCAATCAGGTAGGAAGTCGGGTAAACACTTTTGTAGCTATTAAATTTTGGAATATTTTAACAATTCAATTAAATAATATGCACCAATTTAACAACACAATAAATCAATAATATTAAAACTTAAAACAACTATAACAACAATTACAATAAAATATAAGAAAGCATAAACATCAATCCATCATAATTGTTACACAAACACAATAATAATTATTTTAAGTTTAATCATATGAAACATGTTAAAATCATAAATGCTCCAATATATCACCAGTTTACCACAAATCATGTAACACACACAAAAAACAAGTCCATGTTTTCACAACTCAAACATCCACAACAATAACAATGTTATAATATAAATTGTACCATATAAATACTCTTATAATTATTAAAAAAATATAAAAAAATTAAATATATTTTTTACCGGTAGGGTAGGGTAGGAATGCGAAAATTGATGGGTGTTCCGCATTCCCACCCGATTTATTCGGAAGACCAAAAACTCTTCCGCATTCTTACTCGATTTTTGCGGATAGCCGTTCAATAAGATAGGGTAGAATCGGATAGAAAATTACGGTCAATCGAAAATTTGAATACCCCTAATTGGGCTTATAAATTTTCAGATAATGTTATTGTGCAGATACAAGTGATAAAATGCATGGATATGGGCCTTGGGGCCTTTGTGGGCAGTTTAATGGGTTATGGCCCATTGCCTTTTTGGAGGACTAATGTTTTGAATATGTTGGGCAGAGGCACAAGGGAAAGAGAATAATTGCTCAAACAGCAATGTTATTTGGATTTATTTTAGCCGTTAGATTGATTGTGAATATCATTAAATATTGAAATTTAATGTTAATTCAATAATTGCAATGATACAATATCATTAGGTCAATAAATTAAATCAAAATTTTAAGTTTAAACATTATTTTTTTTTCTAAAATTACAGGCGTTTTTTTTTTTTAAGGTTTTGGGTTATTGGATTGGAGAGTCTCTAAATTTTTTTTTTTTGAAAATTCAACATTCATGAGTATTTGAATTAACTTACGCGTATTCAATTTCAACAGTTAAGCCTTCAAACCGTCTTTATCAGATTTGGCCACACCAAGCCATTTGAAACCGATCAGAACTATTATTTTGTAAAATACTACAACCCTATTACTGGTATTAAGATTTCATTACGGTAATATAACAATTAATAAAGAAGAAGAAGCCTAAGCATCTCCAATTTATACTCAAATTTGAGTAAAAAAAATTTGGTTTGATATAAAGAATTTTAATGGATAAACTCAAATTTAAAGGAGAGTCAAATATGACAATCGAATCTTGGGAAGTTGACTAACTGAGGAGACTTGGATAGAAAATATATCCTTTACACTCTTATTAGCCATAGAATCAACCAAAGAATTTGTCTCTCTACAGATATGCCTAATTTGAAAATCAAATCTTCCCAAAATTATTAAAACCTTGTATTTGAAATCCCAAAATATCCAAGAGGATTGTGTCAGTCCAATAATCATGTCCACAAGAATTTTTGAGTTTGATTCTATGATAACCTTGTAATCTCTCGAACCATAACTAACAAACATTTTTTGGCCACCGGAGAAGATTTTAGGACTATTTTTATTCAAATTTATGTTTTAGCCTA